CATCCCAGCCAACTGGTAATCACCGTCTCACGCATTTCAAATCTCTCAGGTTGGTAACTATGAATAAACAATTATTAATTCTTTATTAAAGCACTATTCGAGCACCTTCATTAGTATTATTATTATTATTTTGTATATATTATTTATCAACCATATTGACATTGAAAGCATGAATTAGCCTGTGTGGATAAAATTATCACAGAAAATAAACTTATAATTTATGAGATTATTTTTTTTAACAGAATCAAATACAGTACGGTAGATAACATTTTTATTTAAAAGCAGGTTTTACATGGACGTAATTTTATTTAATATAATGATTAATATTATTATCTCATAATCAAACTATCGTAAAATTATTATTATTATTATTATTATTACTGTATTATTATTATTATTATTATTATATAAAAATAATTATATAAAAAACATATATTATAAAACACCCACATAACAACGTCACATTGGATCGTTCGGTGGGGACGCCGTGGTGACGCCGGTGGTCAATTTTCTTCGGAAAGTATCAAGATGATAAACAGTTTCATTGGACTAATGCTTATGTTAACCACATGCTTACCTAAGACTATACTGACACTGGTTTCAAATGAAATAACTGACAACTTTGGTTTGTATCAATGTTTTAATAAGTACATAAAACTATGTCACATATACACGCTTCCACTTTTAACAACGTTTACATTCTTTTCACAATAAATTTAGCCTTTGATAACCGCTGCACCCATGAAATCGATCTAGTGTTTCTGAGATGGTTATGAAATGTATAAACGTTTGCGTTTTTACTCAGTTTTGGTCCGGAAAATACGTACCGCACTTGGAAAAGTGAACAGGCAAAATTCATAAGTCATGCGTTTGTTATTCTTTCCATACACTTTTAAAAGTGGGGTTTTAATTATAGAAGATTGGTGAAAAGTAGGGGGATGCCCCCCCCCCCCTACTTTGAAAAGTGGGGGAGACGTGTCCTTCCTGTCTCCCACCGATCGACGCCCATGCGTGGTGGACGATTCAAGAGGTGATGAAAAGGTGTGTGTCATAACAATATAGGCCTATCTGCAAAACCAATAGGGCTTAACTTTTGGTATTTGTTTAAATAGGCCTACAGCTCGTTTTTTACAGGCAGTAAAAAGTAATAGCATGCTATGCAAGTTCGGTCAGTCTACTTCGGAATTATGTTCCATTGTAATATCAGAAAGGACAAATTTTGCACGGAATTTGCACATAGGCCTACCTTAAAAAAATTACTGGTGATTCATATCAACAATATACAATAGTATGTTCTTAATACAATTAGGAGGGTGCGCTCCGTTTCTCTGCTCCCCCTGCATCCGCCCCAGATATAATTACTGTACGGACCTAGTAGGCCAACTGCTAATAGGTCTATAGTCATTAGGAATTTTACCTACCTCAATTTGTTCTTATTTTGTTCTTCAATTTCAGTGGGCGAAAGTGGGGCCGATCGAGATAACAATAACACACTACCCTAAGGGATCCGGGCATGGCCCCGCGAATTTTTTGTTTTCTATCAAATAATCCTCGGCGTTAAATTTGGGCGACCACAATCTCTTCGTTTTCTTTCTTTCTTTGTTTTTTATTTCCTTTGTTTTTTTGTTTAGTTTTTTTTGTTTTACTTTCCTAAAGGGGAACCGGAACCGGTCCGGCTTCCTCTATACCGACATTGTGTTCTTATAAAAAAAAAATGTAGAGAAGTATTGAGTAAAAATACGAACGAAGCTGAGCTTAATTAAAGTACAAACTAAAATCACGTGAATGGAGCTCATTGGTTGGCTATCTCATTTGCTGTGAACCTGCCGTGAACTGAGCTTTTTAACTGAGGTAATACGAGGGCAAGTGGAAATGTTGGAGAACAGTGAAAATATGACCGTTTGATTCTGTGTATATACAGACAATTTTAGACAGGTAAATATATTGTTTAAGTGCTTTCTTACCATAAAGTTTTTTCCTAATTTGGGCTTAATTCGTAACTTAAAATACCATGCAGCAGCAGGATTATTGTAGGAAGACCTAGCTAGGCCTATCGACATTGTCATTCATTGTTGTCAACAAGTATTTATCTCCTACCCTACAGGCTACTAAAATGGCCTATAAATTTTATATTATGCCAAGACTCATCACGGTGGCTCATTCATAACTTGATAAATTAATGATAAACCACATTGAGACTTCACCGGATCTGTAGTTTTCCCGGAATGCAGTAGGCCTACAACACATTTAAATAATATATAGTCTTTACAGTATGCATGTATGGGTAATATGATGTGTGACCTAATTTGTATCTTATACATGACTAAGCAGAAATCATGTTTTGACTTTGAGATATTGAAGGTCACAGATTGGTATGAGATGCTTGAATCAGCGTCGTCGATTAGGCCCAGGCCATTCCATAACCTTGGTTCCCACTAAGACACTCGGATGCAATGTATCAACGCAAGTGGCGCAATGCAAGTGTTTTGCGGCTTCCAAGTGGGAACCAACGACACAAACTTGCCAACGCAATGCAAAACCGACGCTAGTCATTTTTTGCGGATCGTCTTTGCGTACTTTGCGTAATGTTTAGGTAAAGTTTAAAGTAGAGGCCGACCACACCCACTTGATTTTTGGCAGGGACATCGGACACCCCCCTCACCCTTCTAGCACTATGTTTGACTCTCATTTTAGCTTTTTATTTTGGTTGTTTTATACGGTATTTAATTATAATATGTTATAGAAATATATTTAGGCCTACTTGTTATACAGATCTGCATAAACAAAATTTAAATCCTAGATTTACAAAAACATGAAATTGTCATACAATTTGTAATTAAACATTAAGCAAACAATGTACTGTATATTTAATTTAATATGCAAAATAATAAAACATTACCTTTTAAAATAAGGCCTAGGTGCAGTATTATTAGATAATGTTTTAATATAATTACAGTAAATAAGTGTAAACTGTATATTTATTAAACGGACCTGGGCCTAATTTAGTGGCTTGTATCTGCGAAAAATTTATAATAGTTGATTTATAATAATTATTTTTTCTTCAGGGTAGGCCTATCATTAGGGCACATAGAAAAAATTATTAGATTATCACTCTTTTTCTCAAAAAAATTGATGAGGGTAGGGTTTTTTTTTTCGAGTGGAGGTGGGGAGGATGGGGGTGGGATTATACCAAGGGATTCCCGTTTTGCATGAAAGAAACCACATGACATTGTTTATCGAGGTGGTTTAAACAACTGCCCTGTGATTCAATGGCCTATTCAAAATTAGGCCTATATTCCGCTGAAAAAAAGGCACAAGTTTATCAGCATTTAGAGTGTATGAAAAAGAAGTCACAAGACTATTTGTAGAAATATCTCTTATCACATAAAAATTACGGATACCTGTAAATAGCTCATTTTAAAATTATAATGATACAAAATGACTCAGGGCCGAATCGACCAGGGTCAAATCGGCTGCAGGCGGAAACGGCGAGTTGATTGGCCGAGTGGTTAATTTAGGGGCACCGTAACCTTCAGCTCTAATATCAGCACTGGTACGAACGGCTCATTCGCCAATGGTTCCGGTGGTGGAACAAGTCTTCTTGGATAAGGACTTATAAACCGTAGGCCCAGTGTACGCATAATTGACTCGTGTGCACTTCAAAGAACCCGGTACATCCTTCGAGAAGAGTAGGGGGTTACCCCGGTGTCCCCTGTTGTTAAATGGGTATGCCACGTAGTTAAGTTCACTTATTGGCATATCCTTGGCGCTCGTGCCTAAAGAAATGAAATGACCCTACACCCACATGCTGTATAAAAATTGCCTTAATTATTCTTACCTTATAATTCACATCCTTAGACAAAAGGGACCACAACTGGTCTTTTAATTTTTTTATTTTTCCCCATTGAAGCATCAGTTACAAACCTTATCCAAAATAACCCAAATATAATGTACAGCACATTATTTTTGAGGACCTTATTAATTACAAAATAAACCATATACTGGTGTTTGAGTACTACTTGACCTTTGTGGTTGGATGCCTAATTAAGTACATGACTTGTATATATGTAGTCTTACATTTGAAATTTTTAATATAGACCACAGGGAGGGAAGTGCTGTCTGCGGAAAATTTGTTGCGGCTTGTGAAAATAAATTAAATGCCCTGTGTGAGTAGCCCATGTTTGGCTAGAAAACCTGTTGTTTTTACAGAATGCTGCTGTTCATCAAGTAAAAAGTAAGGATGAACTGGGCACAAAGCTGAATAAAAGCAGTGCTTGAAAAAGTAAGGTTGCAGCCCTCAGTTTTAAAACAAAAATTCACTTTGGCATTGGCATCTGACCCATTATGTATGCCCATCCCTAGATGGACGGACAGAGGATCAGAACTAAGGAGCCATATACTTTATTATTACTGTATTTTGTTTTAATTATTTCTAACCAGTGGTGGACGATTCAAGGGGTGATGAAAAGGTGTGTGTCATAAAAATATATCTGCAAAACCAATAGGACTTAATTTTGATATTTGTTTAAATAAAGCTCAGTTTTGTTACAGGCAGTAAAAAGTAATATCATGCTACGCAACTCGGTCAGCCTACTTCGGAATCTTTCATCAGAACAGTGTCCGAAATGTACACAATTGTTTCTCAAGTTGTCACGCCCGTTAAGTAATAGCATTGGACTCCAGTCTCACAATGATAACAGCCGTCTTCAGAACCCACCATCAAAGAGCTTCCACAGAGTGTCACCGCAGATTGAAATACCAGATGTAAAGCCCAAGGCATTCAGGGGTCTGGAAACTGATTTTCCATGTCTGACTAAAAAGTAAGTCATTTTATTCCCATTGTCTACTTGCGTCTGTTCTTTTGTCTAAGAATTATCAGTGCCTGGATTAATATCAGTTGTGCTCAAATGGAATGGCATTCCCATATATTTTTTTCTGTATAACCATTGTGATTGTTAAATAGTTAAGCCGGGCACTACTGCACCCGGGTTGTTGGCAGACGCGATTCTCTGGAGAATGGAATGTCACAAACATGCACACAATGGATTGTTTTTAATGACGATCCATTCAAACTGCCATCGACAATCTGCAGACGACAGCTCGTCGTCTAGAGCTCTCAGGTAACAGAGTTGGATTCGTCCACTGACGAACGTACGACCATTGTACGAAACAGTGAATATCCGGCTTTTTACATTAAAAAAATTAAATATTCTTTACTCTCGCTAATTTTCATTTAGTGATGTGAGCGGCCCCGAACCTGAATATCATAAAGTTGTGTCAGGATTTAAGAAATTTTACTACACTAAACCATACCACCTAAAATACAACAATGCAGTGCTGCCAGAGCTGGAGGTAGCCTATGAAACATGGGGTGAGCTGAATGAAGACAAGTCCAATGCGGTCATAATTCATGCTGGACTGTCAGCTAGCTCGCACGCTAAGAGTCACAAGGTAGGCTAACACTACTCCTGCACTTAGATTATGGCATGTAGATTACCACATCATATGCAATATGAGCCTGAAAAATAAATGGATGAGAAAGTGGGGACTTCATCCGTCTTAAATTCAGGACACATAATAATACATCCAGATTATACAGCAGGCCCGTAGCCAGGTTCTTCCAAGTGGGGGTTTTTGGGCGTGAGGTCCACAGTCGAAGCCCCGGTGGGGTCGGCGAAAGCAAGAGGATTTTTGTGCTTTATGGGTCTAAATAATGCTATAAAAGCAGATATGATTGAAAATTTCTGTGTCTGGGCAGGTCTGCAGTGCATTAGTTGGGTTGGAGGATTTATTTGGGAAATTTAAACAGGAGGGTTTCACCAGAAAAGAGGGGGGAGGGGTTTGCTACAAAAGGGGGTTCTCCCCAACCATAAAATCCCCCCTGGATACGGGCCTGTACAGTTATATTACAACCATTTTTTAAGATATGGTGGTACAGCCTTGCAAAATTTAGTTTCTATGAGTTCATGTCTATTACATTCTTCTTAGCTTCATGAAAATAAAATAATTATTTGACTCCTGCTTGGTTTAGGAAAACACCAACCCTGGATGGTGGGAGAAATTTGTTGGTCCCGGATTTGCTGTGGATACTAATAAATTCTTTGTCATTTGTACAAACACAATCGGAAGTTGTTATGGTACCTCGTAAGTCGTTTAACACCATCTTAATAATAATGAGGATAATAATAGGCTGTGACTTGTGTGCTATGTAATAATATAGATTGAGGAGGATAAATTTGATTGTAAAAATAGTTTACTTTTTACACATTTACTGACTTTTAGCATAACATTAACTTTAATTTTTTTGCCATTCAGTCTAAGGGTTTATGCAAGACTCTTAGTTTAGTTTGTTTTTTTGTTATAACAACTTTTTTTACATTCTAATTTTAAATTTAAACCTATAACTAACTACAAAAGAAAAGCAATTAAAGAAAGAATGAGTATAACAACAACAGTTGGCAATCCTAATTTATCTTTTTTTTGCAGAGGTCCATCATCAATTAACCCACTGACTGGTGAATGTTATGGGACAACTTTTCCTTTACCCTCTGTAGATGACATGGTGCATGTTCAGTTCCTGCTGTTGGATCATCTAGGAATAAACAAAGTAAGGATTAATTCTGCAATAGATTTGGAGGTGTATTTGACGTACAATATTATTTCACCCAACATGCTTTGATATTTCATTGGGACACTATTCACAGACTAATGTTGTTGTAACACCTTTGTAAGATAGAGGATAATTATTATTGTAATTGATTTTTTTATGTGATTTTCTAGTATTTTTTTTTTCATTTTTAGTTTATTTATATTCCCAGCTACATGCATCTGTAGGATCCTCACTTGGTGGGATGTGTTCACTGAATGCTGCTGCCCTTTATCCAGACAGAGTTCGAAGGTTAGTTGGTAATGTTCATAATAAGTACAAGATGTTAAGGTCACAGCCTATCCTATCATGAAAATGATTTGGTCCATAAATCATTTTGAAATTCATATTTAACAGATTATGAAAATTGTGTTCTGTGTTGATAACCATTTAGTTACAGTTCACTTTAAGCGGAAAACAGATTTTGATTTAACACACATCTTTTGTACAAAATTTAAAATATTCTTTTGAAGGGTGATATCTATATCTGGTTGTGCCCGATCACATCCCTCATCCATTGCTATGCGGTACCTGCAGCGGCGCTGCATCATGACTGATCCAGAATGGAAGAAAGGTCACTACTATGGCAAGTCGTACCCTAAAATGGGTATGAAACTAGCAAGGTGGGTGGTTTGCATGTTACACTATACCAACACCAAAACTGAGAAGGTTGAACTAAATCCCTATTCAGATGAAAACTTTATGGGTTTTTTTTTTTTTTAAATTATTATTACCGACTTTATAGAATTAATTTGCTAAAAAGCTTTAATTTGTATTTATTTTCAATATTCAATAATATTATATGGGATACACCTTGATGTTGCTTCTGTGCACATAAATACAAAATGTTCAAAATTGATGAAAAGTAGATTGTTATATATAAAATAAAACATTGAAAATACAAGGATCAAAAGCCGTCAGTCTAAAACTAACCAGGACCACAGCTGCCAAGACAATGGATCGTCAATGATTTTAGTTGAACAATTTCTGGCATACTTGATGGTTTTGCTTATTATTTTTTATGTATGTTTAGCGGTTTCCATTTTTTTTCAGAGAGATTGCAACAATTACCTACCGAAGTGGTCCAGAGTGGGAACAACGATTTGGTAACAAACGTATTGATGAGAATGAAGAACCAAGTCTGTGCCCAACTTTCTCAATAGAAAGCTACATTGAGTACCAAGGAGAAACATTCTGCAACAAATATGATCCTAATTCATTACTTTATATTTCTAAGGTAATATCCTGTCTCTTATACACATCTAGATGTGTATAAGAGACAGCATGAAAAAAAGTTTTAAATCACAGACAACTATACAATGGAGCCAGCATAATCTCCCATCCAACTCCCTGTGTTGGGTCCATGTCTCTGTGGTAATGTATTGCACTACTTTTTCCACCGCTTGCAGGGCCTGTAGATTCCCACTTGATCAGCACTGAGGCAGTGCTTGAAACATTAATGAAATAAATTGGATCCTGTTTTTTTTTTATTCATTCCATTTATGTTTATACTTAAAGGCAATGGATTTATTTGATATGAGTGATGGATTTGATTCTTTGCAAGAGGGCTTGAGCAGGGTCAAGTGTCCAGTCATGGTCATTGGTGTCCAAACTGACATCCTGTTTCCAGTTTGGCAGCAGAGGCAGCTTTCTGATCTCCTTAAGAATTCAGGTGAGTGAATTTCAAATATCCTAGGTGCCCACTATACTCAAGGGCGGCCCAGGATTCGCTGATGGGAGGGTGGGGGCTAAGCTCTTAGACAGGGGTTTGGCAATTTCATCAAGGACCAGTGGAAACTATGGTTGAAGCCTTGGTGGGCACCAGGCAATTTAATGTATTTTCAGTGTTATCAACATCCAGGCAATTTAACACCATGGCAGTTTCAAACAAAACAAAAAAAGCTTTATTTTTCCCTTTATGGTCTGAGTAATGGCCAACAAGGGAATTGCCTGCATGAAGAGAGTTTCTCCCTGCTGGTACCAGCACTAATGGGTTATACACTTGGGCAGGGAAAGAAAATATGAACATGAAGTGCCTTGCATATATGAACTTATAAGCGAATAGGAAGAATTGGATTTATACCTAGGTTGTCTGAATTCTGACTGTTGCACCAAGAATAATGACAATGAAATATTGCAAACATAAGATGTGACAGATAATAATTGGTAGAAAAAGGATGTTGATAACATTGAAAATACATTGATTAAATATTCAAAAAAGTATGAAATTAGGTGGAATAGCAACAATAAACTATGAATATATGTAGTACACAATAATGAGTGGAATTGATTGATAAATTGTTTCCAAATTAGGTAATGATGCTGTGACATACTATGAACTCAATTCCTTATATGGTCATGACACGTTTCTTCTTGATGTAAACAATGTTGGAGCAGCAGTTAAGGTAACCGTGTGCATCATTTTCGTATTTGTAATAAATGATAGATAGATATAAATTTCCATTATCTTTATATTATTATCTTTGTATATATTCTCAGGGTCATCTTGAGAGTCTGTCAGTGTCAGAGGAACCACTATCAACTTCCAATCCATCCTCTGATCAATCATCCTCCTCATTCTCTTAACCGTCATACATCTTGTTTAACAGTAGCCGGACCAAAGGTGAAACATACGTTTTTCATTGTTACTTCATATCTCTCTTCTGTGTTGTGATTTGTCACCACATATCTTGTTTAACTCACACTGCAACAAACATTTTTCATTGTTACTTCGGATACTAGCTGGTGATCTTAAAATTTTGTTGATAAAACCTTGTCATTCACAGTGGAGATGCCAGAAGAAATTTGTAACTTAAATACAGTATACATATGATTATTAGTTATCATGTTAATCAGAAAGTAAATGTTCAACTAATGTAGAATCTAAATTATTTATATTTTATGTACTTTGTTATTTATTTTCTCTTATTCCAAATTTATATTCTAGGGCCATCTCGAAACTGATTTGACTTCATCAAATTGAATGGTGACCAATAAACATGCTAGAATTCAGGTGAAAAAATTATTCAAACCTGTGCAGATCTGAGTGGCCATCTCTTTTGTGAATAATCCACAATTGAATAGTATTAATTGATCATGATGCCTTGTTGATAAGCAGTCTCACCATATTTTAAATAATTGCTTCATGGAACAGTATTGCTTTCTCAGGAATATGTTTTTAACTTTTATTTAAAAAAATAATTGTTAATTTTGTATATTTAAAAAATGCAAGATATTAGCTTTCAATTTGAAAATTTAGTATGAGAAATTATTTTCAATCGTAATTAACAGACAGTTGTATTGGCTGGAAGAAACTTACAAAACAAGGCTAAGAGCCACTCTTGGTAATGGGCTAGAAATCATGTGCTCAGGAGAACTAAAAGAATTCACATTCCTCTTGTCTTGTATTCAATATAGAAAAACGATTGGGCATGGCAGGTTCTGACACCAATCTGTACCAGTGTGGCAAGGTGCAGATACCTGCACTACAGTGTCGCTCGATCAGAATGCTCGGCGATCATGCTACAGTCGACAGTGAATTCAGGGCTTGGCTGCAAGTCTCAAAACTTGCCTTTAAAACAGTTTATAGAAAACGGAAATATTTCTGTATTTTATGTAAATTTTTAAGACAATTTGTACTATTGATACATATTTTTAATAAACACTTAAATTGGTAATCAAATCAGAAAAAGTAGATACTTAGCAGATCTTTTTTAATTGATTTTTAAGGAGTTTCCTACAGTGCATCTTAAAAAGATAACTAGCAACTGAAAAGAAATGTAAATTTTAAAACATAGGAAAAATCAATATTTATAACTTGTTGATGTTTATAAACAAGAATTAAAAATATAACTGGACTGCTTGTAATTAAGATATTTTCTTGCAAGAAAAAAGTATATAATACAGTTATAATGATAAAATATACATGTAGAGTTATGTTATTGCATGGTGAATCATGGCTTTGAACTCCACTACAATAATTATTAAATGGGGTAGACACTTGTAAGCATAATATTAATTTTTAATAGTTTATTATTTGATCTAACATTCCATAATAGAATGAATACAGCTTTGAATGTCTGAATGTATCTGGTCATGTAGGAGAACTTTAGTTGTCTTACTGTAGGTTCCAAATGTTGAAGCTACACTAAATGTTTGTCCATAAGGCGAGATTTTTTTTATACCTGGTTTAGTGAACCTGCTGACTAAATATTGATGATTTTGAATAAAAACAAAATTTTACTTTTGGCCAATTAGCGCACACGCCGCCACGAAAAAGTGGACATTTCAGAAAAAATATAAAAGTTTTTCTTTATTTTTACTACGCGCTCCGCTGGCTTGAAGTCTCCAAATATAAGATATGTATATTTCTTCCTAATTATGTGAATTTGAAGCATTTAACCATCCCATTTTACATTCACCAATAACATTTTATTTTTATTTTCTCCTCCATCTGGTTGTTTTTGGCAAAACTTATTTGCTAAATAAGAAAACAAAATTGGTATTTTTATTCCGCCCTACTCCGGTGATCTTTAAAAAAATAAGTACGCAAAACAAGGAATAAAAAAGTCTTGTCTAAGTGATATAACTTTGGCCTGCCCATATATATAAATCAAAAAACATTTGTCAAAGAAAACTATGTTAAGGACAGAATTTGAATACAATTGTATTAAATATATTATTATATAGTAACATTTATTAATGCTTTGAAGTCCAAAAAATATGAAATAATGTTCATCAATGTGTGTATGAATGTGTTGTAAAACAATTTAAATCAGTTTTATAAGTGTGGTATAATATTCATAGTATGTGAAACATGGATACTGTTAACATTTGGATAAATCATTAATTAAATTGTCAAGCTCAAAAAGTTAAGTTGGAGTACAGTATTATGTTCATATACTATGTTTTTATCTGAAAATTACAAGTTACAATTTTATATCATTTTGTATCTGTTCACTGTGTGTGCAAGTGCGCACACACTCAAGTCAAAAAGTGTGGAATCATTCAGATTAAAGTAGCTAAAATAACGAAGGTTCCAGGAGGATTTCCCCTGGTCAAAGGAACACCCAGAAATCTTCCTCTCTCCACTATAGGTTCTTCCCCCCCCCCAGCCCCCTTCAGAACTTGGGTCTTTGACTGCTACTTGCACCACCCCGGCAGGAAAATTCTGGATCCAACACTGTTGTGTACATAGAAACTTAAGAGAAAGTCGTTGCTACATAATCAGTAATACTTTTTATATATTTATTTATTATTTATCAATGCCTCAAGATATAGTTCACACTTATATTTACATCATAATACAAATAAACACATTCTTTATTTTTATTCAAATATCGAACAACTTTTTACTACTGTAAGGTTAGGTTCCATGTTGTCCAAACCTAATGCAAAATATTGCCCAATAATCCATTACAAATGAATAAAATCTTTCATTCCACATTTTTAATATGTATCAAGGCCCAGAGAGAAGACATGGTTTTTTTTTTTTATTCTTCTGCAAAGAGTCTAGAATAAACAAAAACAATTGACAAGAATACTAATTTTACTGAGTAGGCTGACAAAAGTATGAATTCATACAAATGCCTCTTGAATGCCAACTTGCTCCTTGAATTGCAAGGAATGTATGAGCTAGTTAGGCAGGGGTCCCAACCCTTGTGTAATTTTACATATTCTTCTGCACTCCCGTGGGCAAGCAATATTCTAGAATGTACCGTATTCTGACAAATATATTCTCAACCGCCGCCTTAAAGTCAGTAGTCATTGCCCTTGGCAAAAAATAAATGAAATAAACAATTTAAACAAACTACAGTCTTGTTTGTCTTCTCCAAAAATGGAAATTTAAGCAGGGACCCATTAGCCCCGTGCCAACCACTGTTTAGTGCTAACCAACGTGTAATGGACAGAAGCATGTCTAAAAAAGCTCATACAAGGATCGTCCTGAGGAGACTTCTACAACTGTGGGACCCCTGGCTAGCAGTTACAAATATCATATGCTAAAGCTTTTCATATATTCGCTGCATGCTGATTGGTCAGTTGAATCGGGGAGCTAACCCAAATGTGTCATGGATAACTACACAGTACAACGATTGCACTGAAAATGCTGTAGCGTCAGTGTAGCGATTGTATGGAAACCAAGCTTTAGACTTACAATGATCTGGCAGGAAGTAAATCTATATACCATAAATGCTTGAATAAGCACCGCGGCACATACAATTTTTGGAGGCTTCAGTGCGGAGCTTATTCGAGAGCAGCGCTTAAAAAAATATTGGCGCTACGTTTTTCTTGCCCGTTCCCATCTCGCGTATTCCCAAACAGTTCAGTAGGCCTATCGTAGGTCCTGAGTCATTGTAAATAAACGTTGATAAAGAAATGCTTGTGTCTTCATTGTATTATTTATTTATTAAAACCCTGTTTCTTAAAGTGTTTCATTACCCACAGGGCAATTTATACTCTAAATTAAGCACCGTGGCGCTTATTTGAGAGTTTTGTGAAAAAAATCAGGTTTGGTGCAGCATTATTCAAGAGCAGCGGTTATTCGAGAGTGGCATTTATTCGAGCATTTACGGTAAGTATTAGTAGAACCAATCGCAAGAACATGATAAATGAAGTTTCAAGAATGTTACTGTTTTTTTAATTTGTAACCCACAATTTGTAGTGGAATCAGGTGTGTCAATTATTCCCATATAAAACAAAACAAAACAAAACAATGTGAATGAACATCTCATGATGTTACTATAAAAACAAGTACTGTACTGCTTTCAAAAGTTGATCAACCAATCAAATCTCTCTTTGAGATGATAAAAATTGAATATGATCGGTAGTTTCTAATGACTTTTATATCAAATATATTTCTTACAAGTTAAAAGACATGTTAAATATCTCAAATATTGCTTCAAACATTTTTTGTTTATTCTAATGTATGGTTATAACAATTAAGATCTTTCTTTTCATTAAGATCTTTCTTTTCAATCATTGCTTTGGAAACGTCCATCATCATCGCCTATTGTAAGCACTAATGCTTTTCAAGATGCCATTAATAATATTCAAACACTACACTGAATGACAAATTTTTGTTATAAACATAATTTTAATGCAAATTTGTTATGCACCATTTATTAATCAAATTATTTCTATTGAAGAAACTTGTCCACTCAATATACATATGCTCAAATTATAATTGGGGTAAATTCTCTTGTAAAGTAAAAGCTTTCAAATCTTTTGAATACTAATCACAATTTCAGAGACTTGGTTGGAATTTAAAATAAAAAAAATCTATATAATATAATACATCATAGTTATATTTATAATTCAAGATATAAAAAATGGAAATCTTATTTATATTATCATGATGATCAAGAATATTTTCTACATAAAAAAAAATGAGTGCATGTGGAGTATTCTTTTAAACAGATTACCTTGTTATTAGCACATCCTTGTAATAAATAGGAGAGAGGTGGGAAAGGAAGCTATAAACACAGGCAACTGACCAAGACAATCGCGAAAACAAAATGGAACTTGACCAGACTAAAAAGATATCTAACATTGTTGACGTAACAGAGTCAAACAAAATATATATTCTTTTATTTTTGTAACTACCTGCTCTGTAATATCAACAAACAAACGCATCTTTGACAGTTCACACATTCAATCCTAGTACATAGACACATGTGGTGGTTGTGACCTTAGGTCTCCAATAGCATACCATATTTGGAAGCAGACATGGCCTTTTTTTTCCATGCCTTTATGTATTAGCACATTAATGAGACTCCTTTTTGAATTTGAAACCTTACCGGTTACACAGTACAACAAGATGTAAGATATTTGTCATGATGTGTGGCCACTGCTAATCTCAGGATCACATGATATCCCCCACTCTGTGATGCATAACTAGATAGTCTAGAATTCGGGGAATCTACTATTACTCGTACTGTTCACATCACAACTCTCTTATTTATTAATATCAAGCTTTCAACAAGTTAACCAACAATTTAGCGGGGTCGTCCAGGAACAGGCGGAGCTGCTTTATTATCAGGTCGTCTGAAATGAAATGTAACAAATTTATTTGTTGATAACAATATACATCTGAATATGAACAAACTACAAATGTTACTTTTAATCTTAAGCTCACCTTGGGACACCAGGAGCTGGTCTACTTGGAATATCTGGCCTGGCAGGGACTGTTCGAGATGGCTGAGGAGCTGCATGACCAGCAGGCCTAGGGGGCCTCCTTCCTCCTGGTTGTGGTGCTGGTGTAGGCCTTGAAAGAGAATAGTGAGTCATTTTAAGACAAGATCAATTTTCCTTGAAGGTTTGCATGGCGAGTATCAATAACAAAAACGGGGAATTTTTGGTACACCTTGTGTATAATATATGTTGTTTGAGGTAAAACCACTGGTTGGTTGTCTTGATGTTGTGGTAAGATTGCTCTGACCGTCATCAGGAATATAAATTTCATTGTCAAAATGTAAATTTGGTTTACATGATATTTGGGTTGTAAATGCTTTTGGAAGATATAGATCAATAATATTAGGGTAAATAAACTGCTTGTGTTTCCCAGGACTGGCTGAAAATCTAGAGTCCAAAATACATGTATGGTATTTCAAAGGATCACTTTTCAAGTAATGTAATAACTTAACCATGGATTTGATCCCCCTGTAATTAACATTTTACCAACCAAAATACAGTACATTGGGTGAGTCAGTTATTTATAATCCTGGGTGGAAACAGATGTCACCAAATATATATATACCAGGGGCAGATCCAGGGATGTCTGAAAAGGGGGCCCCCAAAAATGATGGGGCCAATCAAGACAA